CTCTCCATGCAGTGAGGGGTTGCAGGTGACGTGGGCTTGGGCAGTGCAGGCTTAGCAGGTGTCCAGCAGAAGCAAGTGCTCCCAACAGGTGACAGGTCGGCCGCTCCCTGTCACGTTTTGGAAGGAGGAAAAGGCTACCTCTAATGCTGAACCAAGGATAGTGCTCAAAACCATACCAGACTTCCTCCAATCAAGGAAGAAATACAGCCCTGATAATAATAAACACTGCTTCCCCCTAGCTGGCTTCCAGATCCTAGAAATCCTGCATGGTATCAGCTTTCTCTAGAGTGTGTGCGTCGTCTGTGTTTTCCATTTGGAACTGTGGCCACTGCCATGTGTACTTAAGACTGATGGAAGACGTTTAGTCTCTCATTCTGCTGCTTTTAAAGTTGTGCAAAGAAAATCTCAGAGTGGGCAAACTTGAGGAGTCCAAGCCTCCCGTGCAATGAGAGATCTCATGGGAGAGGGAGACAAAATTTCACCACAGGTGTGCTCTAATAACTTCCTCTGCAGGGTCCACCTCTCTGCACACAAGGATTTTCAAGCCTGTGCACGAGGCGGCTCTTGGCCTTCTATTCCTTGTTGGGGTTGGAGGTCCAGGTCATCTGGCCTTAGCCAGGTGGTGTGGACAGAGAGAGCGGCCCACTGGCTTCCTTGACTGTGCTCCCCAGGTAGCCCCAGGGCCAGCCGAACCTCCTCTAGGGCAGATGGATGAAGATGAGGTCCCCACCTCTCTGAACAGTGTGTGTGTCAGCAGAATTCTTTTCTTCTTTTTACTGCCTTAGAGAGACATGCTGACTTGGTCAAAATCGCTTCGGCAAGATGTGACTGATGATGGAGGAAATGAAAACTCCTGGCCCAGCACTGGGAGGCCAGCAGGCGAGGGGCACGGACCCTGGGCCGGGGCCGCCTGACACAATAACACCCCTCACAATTCCAGGCCATCTTTCATCCAGGCAAAGGCGGCCCCAGGTGTGGAGCAGACTGGGGCAGATCGGATTACGGTCCTGGAGCCTAGTGCTGGGTGCCCTGGCCAGGGGAGCCACAACTGGGAGTGTGTGGGTGGGGGACTAGCTGCTGGGGAAATGAGATAGGCCCCAGGGAAGTCCCTGGGCCCGGCTGGCCTGCGGTGGGCCTGGGCACAATGTGAGGATTGGAATGCAGTGATGACCCTTTCATCTCTAATGTTCCCTTCCACTTCGCTCTCTCTTTTGCTCTGGTACTTTTGCTCTTGCTCTCAGAGTCAGGATACATTTGCTTTTCTCTGCTTGGCCAAAAAGCAGATCATCATGAAAAGTTTTGTTGTTGTTTTGTAACTCAGGAGGCTTTTCTGTTACCATATTTTCCTTTTCATCCAGATGGTAACATAATAACATTTATCAAGGGTTTTCTCTGTGTCCCAGGCACTGTGCAAAGCCCTTTCCACGAATTAACTTCTGAAACATCACAGCGATCCCAGAAGACAGGCGCTATCAGTCCCCCATTTTACAGATGGGGGAACTGAGGTGTAGAGAGGTTAAGTCCCTTGCCCATGGTGCACAGCTGGAAGAGACAGAGCTGGAGTGTGAATGTGGGTGGGCAAGCTCCAGTGCCCAGACTACCTCCTCCACACAAGATTTGCCCTTGGCAATCTCAAAGCCTTTTCTGGTGGTGGCCTCAGCTCCCAAACTGGCATCGGATGCACTCCCAGATGGATATTTCTTGCTTGCTGGTTTTCATTCATTCATTCATTCATTCATTCATTCATTCGGCATTCACTGAGGGGCTGGTGCAGTCTTGGGGATGCCTCTGGGGGAGGAAACAGGGAAAAGAAAGACCCCCTCCCCCAGCATGGATCACAGGAAAGATAAGGCTAAATGGGGGTTTGTGGGAGTTCAGAGGAAACCTTATCTCTTGAGGTCTTGGATATGAAGGGCATGTTGTCTCTCCCTCTTGCATGAGAAAAGGTGGCATCTCGGAGGAAGGGTTTCTGGGGTGAGGGATCTGGGAGATGCCTTAGCTTGGCGCCTGCACTGGCGCCTGCATGGCCAGGCCTCAGTCAACCGGTCTCTTTAGGTGTTGGCTGTGCTTATTACTATTCATTCAACAGGTACTAATTGAGCACCTGCTGTGTGCCAGGCTCAGAATAGGCTCAGGTGAGATGCACAAAGAAGGGTAAACTAGAATCCTTGCTTAGACACTGACAGATCAGTTGTTTCATATGTAAATTGTAGCACCGAGACCTGCTGCCCCTGCCCCCAGCCTCACCTGCTTGTGAAGATCCCTCCAAAAGATTTGAGAGTAGATAAAAAGCAGAGACTACCACTGAAGGGCAGGGCTGCTGTGGCTCCTTGTTGTTTCAGACTTTGGAAGAAAGTGACCTCCTTTCTCTCTGCTGGCACTGGAGGTGGCATAGCCTGCGCCTGGCAAGCCAGCGCTGGAGGGTGTGTGCAGGGCTGGGGACTGAGCCTGGTTTCTGTTCCCTTCTCTTTAGGGCTCAAGCACTTGCTATTCCTCCACCTGGGATGCCTTTCCCTGGAAAAGCCTGTCTCTTTCTTGTCTTTCAGAACTCAGGTCAGTGGCATCTCCTCGAAAAGCTGCCCTCCCCACCCTCCATCACCTCACCTTGTTTATCTCCCCCCCCCCCCCCCCCCCCCCCCACTGCCTGTCAGTTATCACAGGCTGAAGTGACCCAGGTTCTCCAGTTGCACACTCTCAGATGGATCCTGGATGACTGTGGCACTACTGCAATTTCCCCAGTGGCCCTGGGGTAGGATTCCTGCACACCACGATGCCCACCTTTCCTTCTGCCTCCTGCATGTCCTCCTCTGCCTGGCTTCTGAATTGTTTCCAGAGAGAGTAATGGACAAGACCTGCCTCTCCTCCAGTCCCTGACTCTTATTTGAGGCTCTTGCTTTGCTTCCCTGGCCTGGAGGCCGCGGCTCCTTGATGGAGTCCGCCATGTGGGTTCGCTTATGGCCGTGTCTTCCTGCCCAGCATTGTGCTTGGCCCCAGGACTGGCCACATAATATCTGGGTCAGGTGCAAAATTAATACGGCGCAGGGGGGACTTTGTTCATAGGTGATTTAGAACTGCATATGGTGACCCCAGAGTAGGAAACCAAGTGTGGGGCCCTTGAGAGCTGGGGGGCCCTGTATGACTGTCCAGGTTGCAGGCCCCACAGCTCCCCACCTGATATCCTGTGCTCCATGCTTGTTGGTTGAAGGAAGGAGTGAATGGATGAAGACCAGGTGGTGGGGGTGGTTTGAGGGCCTTGCCTGGTGGGTGGGCAGAGGCCCCTCCCTGGCATGGGGCTCAGGACCTGTTACATCTCACAGCCTGGGGCCTATGTATAAATGGCCAGGACCTGCAGGCTGGCATGGGGGCTCAGAACCTGTTCCACCTCACTCTTGGGGCCTATGTATAAATGACCAGGACCTGCAGGCTGGCATGGGGGCTTGGAACCTGTTCCACCTCACAGCCTGGGGCCTGGGTGTAAATGGCCAGGACCTGCAGGCTGGTATCTTTCTGCTCCTTGCCTGGCCTCTGGCCTCCCCTTTCTCTACCCATGTGGCTCCTCAGGCTGCCATCTAGTCCAAAAGTCCCCAAGGGAGACCCAGAGGACCACTTGGCCAAACTACTTCTGCTCCAGAAAACTGTCGAAGACCATAATTCTCTTCTCCAGCTCTCCTGCTCCAGGAAGGACAGCCCCAAAGTGAGGCTTAGCCAGAGCCCCTCCCAGACAACCCCCCTGCCCCCCGCCGCTTCCCTAACCTCAGCCCTTCCCAGTTCATCCCAAAGCCCCTCTGGGGATCCTCTCTCACCCAGCCCCAGCAGGGGAAGGAGACAGGATGAACTTTTACCCCGCTGCCCTCACTGCCACTCTGGGTGCAGTAATTCCCTTGAGATCCCACACTGGCAGAGGGACCAGTAGGTTCTGAGTGATCTGGGGACTCCCTGTGACAGCGTGCATGTCTCAGTATTGATTGAGGGATGAATAGATGAGGAGGCAGGAGAGGAGGCTGATGGGGAGGTCTCAGGCACAGACCCTTGGAGGGGAAGAGGATGCGAAGACCAGCGGCTGGCTCCCCAGGCACTGCCACGGGGAGGGCTGATGGGAAGCCCTAGTGGTGGGGCTGGGGTGTCTGGTCTCAGGCTGAGGGGTGGCTGGAAAGATACAGAGCCCCTTAGAGGAGAAAGTGGGAAGAACCCCCCAGCTCAAACGAAGTTCACTTATTCACTCAACAAATCGTGATTGCGCAGCCACAGTGGCTACCAGGCGCTGGGTTCAAGGCACTGCGGGCACCAGAGCTGCGGAGAAGATCGCTGGTCCTGGCCTCAGTGCGCTGGGCGTCTAGCGGGGATAAGAAGGCAATAAAGAAGCCACGGAGTAACTCAAACAACAATTCCAGACAGCAAGAGAAATTACAGGAAAGAAAACAAATGTACGTGGGGGTGAGGTGAGGAAACAACCTCAGCCTGGCAGGTCTTGGAGGTCTCTGGGAGAAAGCAGGGTCTGATGGGGGGCGGGAGGTGGTGAGCCGGGAGCCGTCCAGGCGGAGGGAATGGCGAGCGCAGAGACAAGCTGGCAACCGGTTCAGAGAGGCGCAGAGGGGTCAGCGTGGCTGGCTTAAAAGGAGACGGGGACTGAGGGGCAAGACCGCCTCAAGGGTCACCGCTTCCAGGAAGCCTTCTATTTCCGCGCCACCTCTGCGCTTCCCCAACTTTTCCCACCGCGGCCCGCAGCCCACCGGTCCCGCTCGGGCCGCCTTCGTGGTCCGGACCGCGAGTGCCAAGAGGGCAGAGCCGGCTCGGATTCCTCCAGCCGCATCCCCGCGACGTCCCGCCAGGCTCTAGGCACCCCGTGGGCACTCGGTAAACATTTGTCAAGCGCTCTAGAGGGAATGAATGAACCCATTGGGCACAGCTGGGGGGAGGGCGGGGCCGAGGGCAGGTGGGAGGCCGCCGGCGCGGGAGGGGCCCCTTGAAGCCCGTCCTCCTCCTCCTCCTCCTCCTCCTCCTCCGCCCAGGCCCCAGCGTGTACCACTCTGGCGCTCCAGAGGCGGCCTCTTGTGCGATCCAGGGCGCGCAGGGCTGGGAGAGCGCCCCGGGGCCCCTGCTCTCCACGCCAGAGGTTGGAAGAGGGTGGGTCGCCGCCGCCTGAGGGCGAGAGCGCCAGAGGAGCGGGAAGAAGGAGCGCTAGCCCGCCCGCCTGCCTCCTCGCTGCCTCCCCGGCACTGGCTCTCTGGACTCCTAGGCTTGCTGGCTGCTCCTCCCACCCGCGCCCGCCTCCTCACTCGCCTCTTCGTTCGCCGGGGCTGCTTTCCAAGCCCGGCGGTGCGCCCGGGCGAGTGCGGGGCGAGGGGCCCGGGGCCAGCACCCAGCAGGGGGCGGGGGTCCGGGCAGAGCGCGGCAGGCCGGGGAGGGGCCATGTCTGGCGCGGGCGCAGCGGGGCCCGTCTGCAGCAAGTGACCGAGCGGCGCGAACGGCCGCCTGCCCCTTCTGCCACCTGGGGCGGTGCGGGCCCGGAGCCCGAAGCCCGGAGCCCGGGTCGCGCGTAGAGCCGGCGCGATGCACGTGCGCTCGCTGCGCGCTGCGGCGCCGCACAGCTTCGTGGCGCTCTGGGCACCCCTGTTCCTGCTGCGCTCCGCCTTGGCCGACTTCAGCCTGGACAACGAGGTGCACTCGAGCTTCATCCATCGGCGCCTCCGCAGCCAGGAGCGGCGGGAGATGCAGCGCGAGATCCTCTCCATTTTGGGCTTGCCCCACCGCCCGCGCCCGCACCTCCAGGGCAAGCACAACTCGGCGCCCATGTTCATGCTGGACCTGTACAACGCCATGGCGGTGGAGGAGGGCGGCGGGCCCGGCGGCCAGGGCTTCTCCTACCCCTACAAGGCCGTCTTCAGCACCCAGGGCCCCCCTCTGGCCAGCTTGCAAGATAGCCATTTCCTCACCGACGCCGACATGGTCATGAGCTTCGTCAACCTCGGTAAGGGCAGGCGGGGGTACGCGTCTCTGTTCGGGGGCACTTTGAAACCGGGAGGGAGGGAGCCGCTTCTTCTATACAGCCCGCCCAGCTTTCTGCTCCTGGTTGAAATCGCAGTGCCTGCCCGAGGGTCTCCCACCCACGGCCCTATGGCTCCCAAGCTGTGTGCGCCTCCAGGTCTGGCGCGCTGGGCTCGGTGGGCCTGTGGGGGTTACTGGGAAGGAGGGATCCTCCGAAGTCCCCTCCATGTTACGCCGCCGGCCGCATCTCTAGGACTGGAGGCGCCGGCCGTTCAAAGCGCGGGGCTTGGTCATGTGAGCTGTCCTGGGCTGGCGCGGCTCGCGCTACCTGGATGTAAAGGGCCCTTCCCGGCGAGGCTGCCTTCCCGCCCTTCCTGGGCCCCTCTCAGCCCTGCCTGGCCCTGGCATCGCGGCCGTCGCACTCCCTTACCCGCCCTGACAAGCCCTACCTGTCCCCTAGTGGTGCGCCCGCCTTAGCGTACCGCGCGCTCCGAACGCCTTGGGGCCCCTCTCCGGGCCGCCGGATGCCCCATTCTCTCTTGGCTGGAGTTGGGGAGCTTGCTAGTTTGCGTACTTTTATTTTTTCTTTCTTTTATTTTCTTTATTTTCTTTTTTTCTTTTTTCTTTTATTTTTGAGACGGAGTTTCACTCTTCTTGTCCAGGCTGCAGTGCAATGGCGCAATCCCTGCTCACCGCAACCTCTGCCTCCCGGGTTCAAGCGATTCTCGTGCCTCAGCCTCCCGAGTAGCTGGGATTACAGGCATGCACCACCACGCCTGGCTAATTTTGTATTTTTAGTAGAGACTGTGTTTCTCCATGTTGGTCAGGCTGGTCTCGAACTCCCGATCTCAGGTGATCCTCCTGCCTCAACCTCCCAAAGTGCTGGGAATTACAGGCGTGAGCCACTGTGCCCTGCCGCTAGTTTTCTATTTTAAATATTTAGTGGTAGGTCTCGGGCCGGCAGAATCCATTTTCAGCGTGTATCACGTGTGGCGCGCAAACCACAGGTTTTGGCGATTGGGTTGCGCGGGATCTCCGAGCTGACGCCGCGGGGGCGACTGGGGGTCCCAGTTTACGACTGGAGCCGCGACGACCCCGGGGACGCGAGCCTCGGGGCTGCGGCGAGGGCCGGGGAGCTCCCCCTCCGTCTGCGCGCACTCATTCTCCAGACTTGTTCAAACTAACCCCCGGCAGCGCTCTGCGGGACTGATGATCAAATATTTGGTTTCCGAGATAACACGCCCGGATAGCGCTGTTTCCTGAGCGCTTTCATTCTACTTGTGTAACTTGCTGCGAAAACCCGAACCAAGTCAAGACAGCAAACTCACGCCCACGGGCGCTGTGTCAACATGGAAATAATGATACTGAAGCCCCACGCTGGGCACCTGGGGCGTGGACTGGGGGTGCGGGGAAGCGCAGATCCGCCTTCATGCTTCCCCCTCCTGATAAGGTCCCTGGAGTTCCCTGGGAGGCCATTGTCTGTACTTAATAACCAAATCCAGCTAGTGAGCCAAGCTTCAGCGAGCAAGGGGTGGGAGGTTTAGATGCTAAAATACCTTCAAGAAAGTTTAAATTATACTAAGCAGCCAGTTAAGAAGGAAGCGGCAACATATGACCTGATTTAGAACCATCTCCAAGATGCATGAGGTGGAAAGAAGCAAGGTGCAGGTGAGTGGCCTGCATGTATGCTTTTGTGTATCATCGTGTCCTCCTGGAGGAAGACACCAGGAACTGGAGAGAGATTTTACTAGAGGGCTAGAGAGGTGGGGGCACAGCTGGGGCTTAGGGAGTGGGAGCTGGGGTCTAATTTTTCATTGTCTGCACTTCTGTATTGGTGATTTTTTAAAAAAAACAATGTGTATTTATTAACTATACCAAAAACTAAAGGAAAATTCCAAATACATACACACAAATAATGAACGCAGAGCTCTGTCGCCCTCCTGAAGCCTGGGGTTAGCCACGGCCCTTTCTCTGGTGGGGGATTTATGGCATCTTCCGTTCTGTTGGGTACCCCGGACTCCCACTGAATGTGCAGATCCCAGCGGCTGCCTTCAGAGCCTGACTGGGGTCATTAAAAAGGTATTTGTAATCTCCGGCTTCTGTAGAAGGGCCTGCAAACCAAGAGCAAAAAAGCCGCCACTGCGCGGTGTGGGCTAGGCCCCAGGGGCTCCCTGTCCCCCAGAGAAAGACCAGGTTGCTCGGAGGGTGCCTTGGGAACTTTGGTGCTGGCTATTTGCTTCCCCCATGGCGGCAGGAGCAAGCTGGGACTTGTTTGGGAAGGCCACAGCTGGGTGATTTTCCTCCTCTGGCTGTATACACACCTTTCAATCCATTTCTTTCATCTTGAAAGGACAAAGACTGGCTTGTCTGAGCCTCTTAATCAGTCAGGCTGGCTTTGGGCTTTGTGGGACCCTGACTTTCTCAGGTCTAGCTTTCTGGGACATCACTCCAAATTAGATGGCAGAGTGGCTTTTAACAGAGCGCACTGACCTTGTTTTCTTTCTCTCTCTGTCCCTAAACTCGAGGTCATTAGTTAGGTGAAGACCTGGGCTGCAGTTTGGCGAGACGCTTCCTGTAGATGCTTCTAATGTTGGCCTTTAATTTCTGCTAAGCAGCAGCACAGGAATAAATTGCCTGTCCCTTCTGTTCTGTTGTAGCCTGGAATTTCTCCATAGGAGGGACTTGGGGGTGGCAGTAGGGTGGAAGAGGGTTGGGGGGAGGTGTAGCAGACTTGTCTGGCCACTGAGTTTGCTGAGAAAGAACACTGCTATACTGTTTTTCCTTGGATTGCAAATCATGTTGATCTGTAGTATTCAGTTTTCTAAAGGTAAGTTTATTCTCACAATTTACAGAAGAGTGAGAAAATATCACTAGCACATATCAAACTATTCCTTATTATTATGGTGGGACTTTGTCGGGGGGGTGGGGCATGGGTGAGGATCTTGGCAGCCTCTGCTGCCCCTTCCCTCTGCACTGCATAGCTCTGCTGTCTTGCAGGCAGGCGGCCTGCGTACGCTGGGGGACCCCTGCTTGAATTCTGAAGGCTTTTGCAGACCTGGTGCGTTTATTCTTCCTTCTGTCTGCCGCCAAACTGGTTTTTGTTCCTGTAAGTTGTTCTTGGAATTCAACTTTTTTGCCAGGCTGAGCGGGATCTAAACTAGAGGGAAAACTAGAGGGGAATTTACGACAAAACCAGGTGGTGGGAATGAGGACTAAAGGCTGCACCTTATGACAAAGCCCAGCCTGTACCATAAAGCTGGGCAATGTGAGCTGAGCTGCCTGAGTGAGACTCCCATCTTCCCAGCCTGGGCCCCTTAAGTTCAATGGCAAGATTTGTAAACTGGTTTGGATTAACAACCCCGACTCCTCTGTGTAGACTTAATTTTGGAATTCAAAACAGCTACCCTCTCTTAAATAATCCCCAGGCAATGGCGATTCTGCCCACTGAATCGAGCCGTAGCCCGTTGCCATTCCTTCTTTGGGAAGACCCAGCAGCTCTGTCAGGGATCTGCTAAAGTAGCTGGCTGGCACTAGGGCAGTGGAAGTCAGCGTGTTTATCTCTGGTCCAGGTAATGAAGGCATGAAATTTGTGTAATCTTTGAAGCTACATTGAAAAGAAGAGAAAGTTGGAAACCTATCATTACTGGAGTCAGCCTATGAAAGTGGCTTTTGTTCCTGTAGCTGAAGAGCAGGGAGCAGGCCGTGCAGTTTGATTTTTGCTTTTATGCCATCTGGCTGTCCTTTTTGTTGACAAGTGTTTGGCATTAAGACCTCTCCCATTGCCCCTCAAGAGCGGTCCCTACCACTGTAGAGTATTAGAAAAAGATTCTGTTACAGTTTAAAAATTTCCTTCAGGGAGTGCTTCGCAAAGGGGAGCGTGGACTGCAGGCATTTGCAGCTGTAACCTGGCTTGTGTTAAAATTTGGAAGGGGCTGTTCCACATTCCAGCACTCGGAGCGCCGGCCCTCACTGGTGAGCAGCCAAAGGTTAATATAGATGTCACACAGCTCCCCCCTCTTTCTTTCTTTCTGCAGAGCGCCTTTGCTATAGGAGTGCACCAACAGCTGTGTTTTTCGTAACCCTTTCAAAATCACTTCTTTTAAACCTCATTTTCCTGCTTATATAAATCAAAGATTTTCCTCCACTTTTCCCAAGCATGTATGTGACCCAGCTTTGAACTTTTTTCATCTTCGATGTATTTTCCTTCTGGAATCAAGGCAGGGTAAGGCTGAAACCTGGATGCCAGCCTGGGTGGCTGTTTTTGGTTTTGGTTCCAGGGTTGTCATTCGGTAGTGGAACGGTCCCCATGGAAGGGGTAACAGAGATGGCCTATTTGCAAATCAGTTTCAGGGCAACAAGGGGGATGACTCTCTGAATGCACAGAGAGAAGAAACTGCTTTTGAGATGCAGCCCCCTCAAGCTACAGTTTGGGGCTTTACCATGGCGTAGTAGGCTATCAAGCCTTGGCCGAGATAAACACAGCTGGTGCACGATCCTCTGACCACCGGAATGCCTGTGATGTGAGCGAATATCACATGTCCGCTGAACTCAGAGACAAGTGATGACTTCATTCCAGGGAGAGTCCCATCTAGGTTGATTGATCACTCCTATCACTTTAATATCTCCCCCTCATTTAGTAAGGTCATATTTGGCCCATTGCAAGAATCAGCGTGTCCTAAGTCTCCCCCGTCTCCACCCTTCCCCGTCTGCCCATCCGTGTAACCGGCTGAATATTTTGAATGGGGAGCCCTTTGCACCATGCTTCTGGCCACATGAATTCTTTCACGCTCACTCTTCAGGCTTAGCTGGGGGGCTGTCGGCACACTGTTTTCTTGGCAAGCCACTGCAAGGCTTCACCTTAATGCACTCTGACACTGTCACCGGGGTTAGGGCACAGGCGGGGATGTGTGGGACCTGTCATGTTATCGTCAGAAGGAATGTGCGGATTAGCCTTTACAGCATAGTGGTGGGAGAGCACTGCAG